TGTGCTCATTTGAAAAATGGAGATTAGAATCTTTGTACTAACAACTTCTGAGATTTGGAGGGAAAGTGCTTTGTAAACCTTAAGAAATAAAGGGAAAAAGTATATATATATATATATATATATATATATATAATTTATGTAAATATATATAAAGAAAAAGATACAGAAAAAAAGATAGGATCCCACAGTTCTAGGTGGGGTAAAATCCCTGAGGGGAATCCGTGTGTCATTTTTATAGGATTATTATTTTTTTTACATGAACTTGGTTTGTTTATTCTCTTGGAAATGATTAAGACACAAAATCTACCTGTTGAAAATAAGTTTTATTAGAGCATAATAAAGTAGCACTTTGTATTGAAGGAGTTCTCAAACTTTTGGGGCTCAGAACCCCTTTGCAATCTTAAAAAATACAAGACTTAAGACTCCAAAAACCTAGGGCTAACTCCCAATTCTGCTACATACCTGCTGTGTGACCTTGTACAAGTCAGTTAACCTCTCTGAGCCTCAGTTTCTTAATTTGTAAAATAGGAGTAGGAAGTCATATCATATCTCATAACATTATTTTGAAAATCAAATTAACTGCAAAGGGCTTTGTAAATCTTAAAGCAATATATAAATAGGCATTATCCTATATTTTTCTTTTACTGATAATTATAAAGAATAATTATAAAGATAATTACAAAGAATGCTGCAAAAATAATGAAGGGCCCCATATAATGAGTGAGCCATAGCTTTAGAAGCATTGAATCAAAGAGGTACTAGAGCTTTGACTACCTTAAGTTTCTTTTTATCATTTTTTCCTATTTCCCAAATAGTCTCCTCCTCCTTTGGTAAGCTTTATATCCTTCATTTTCCTTTGAAATCAAAGGCTGTTTATTAGTTTTGTTTTCAGTTTTGTTTCCATAAAATAGGCTGTATCTGTTAGGCCCCTACTAAATTTTCCCCCAAGGGTCACAGATAGGAGATTGTGATTTCTATGCTCACATAGACCGATTCTCTCAGATTCAAGCCATTTTCAAGTTAACCTTTTATTTATAGTAAATAGCCACCTTTTCTGTTTTGTTTTTTCCCTCTTTTGTTTCTTTTCTTTCACTCACCCACTCTCACTGCCCCAGATTCCCTACAGTAAGGCTGGAATCAGAGGAAGTGTGGGGGGAGAAAGTTCAATGGGAGGGAAGGGGAAAGGTAGAGAGATGCAAGTAGACAGAGACAGGAACAGGGACCCAGACATATAGAAGGATAGAGACAGTTTAAATGGCAGCACAAGAAGGTGAGTCTAACTTTGTGGGTTTGGGTTGAAGTAATGCTGACCATTTAGCAAGCCTCAATGAATCCCCATTCCAGAGGGTTGGGTCTTGGCTCTTCATTGCTTAAGGCAGTGCAAGGGAAATTATTTAAAAATAAGTAAGTAAATAAATAAATAAAAGCTGATGATATAATTCTCCAGCCCCTACTAGCCCTTCTAGGTAGCTCTGGTGGAGTTAGTGTGGTGCATGGGAAAGATGACTGGTTTGGAAATCAGAAAGTCAGAGTTAACTACATCAGGTTTTGTCCCTAATTCACATTGGGCTTCACTTCTCTTTGTTTTCTCATCTATAAAGTGACCATTTTCCTAAACTGTATGCAGAAGGCTGATCAGGAGAGCCCCTAAGATGAGGCCAAAGGAAAGAGGCCATTGTTTGGGACTTGTCTTAAGTTGGAAGGACTCTGATTGTGCTTCCTAAATAGGTCAAACATACCCACAGATAAGCATAAAATAAGCCTAAATCTAATGGTATATACTTTCTCATAGGGGAATGGAAAAAAGAAACAAAACAAAACAAAACAAAACTTGGAGGTTGCTAGAGAGACAACCCACTTCATACCAAACCCATGCTTTTGAAGTCCACATCTGCTCCTCCTCAAGGATCAATCACCTCAGGCTCCAGGGCCACTGATTATTTTTCACAGGAGAAAGGCCTCAGCTTTTTATTCTGCTCCACTACTGCCTTTGGCTAAGAGATTCTTTCACTGTCTTTCCAAAACTGGATACAGGTACTTCCCTATTCTCCTTAGAAGGTGGATTTAGGCTTTTTCTTTACTCTATCACAGTCTCTCCAAGCCCTTATCATCTTTCAGGCCTTCAGCTACATAGCTGAGGGCATGTTTAACTGCAACTTGCCTCTTCCACATCTTGGGGCATGGACTCAATCCTCTCCTAGTGAAGAGGCTTTGATATCACTGCTTCTCCATGACTGTCATTAACCACAATCTGAAGGAAGATGGCTCTGATGCCTATGAAACCCTAATTTAGGAGCCTCAGTCTATTCTTAGCTTTAGATTAGTTCTGGTAGGTCTGTCTACCCCTCATTCAGAAGAACAGTACAAAAGGGTAGCTCTGATCTGAGCCTAAGCCTGAGCCCAACCCCATCAAATCATCCTTGATGCAGAAAGAATCTTTCGATGAGGCTCTTCCTACCTATCAAAGAGGCATCATCAAAATCCTTTGCCCCTTCTCCATTTCTTTCATGGGAAAGTGGGGGCAAAATCAATCTTGTACAATGAGACTGAACCTTATCAAGTTGACCAGTTTCTCCGGATCAAGCCTGTCCATTTAAAATGCAAAACAACATGATCTTTGATTCCTCTCCACCTCTCTATTCTTATATCACATGACCACAAGATCACAGCTGTGACTTGTTTTGTTCTTGGACAGTTGATTTATAAAATCAAACATATTATTTTGTGTTTCATGAGCATTTGATTGCCATTTCCCAGGTTTGGGGCAGATAGAAAGACCTACCTCTCCCTGGCCAATATTATCTCTCAGTTCCCTAATTCAATTGGTTTAGAGAAGTCTGCTTTAGGGTTATTTCTACAATGACTTTATTTCTCCAAACAACAACAAGAACAACCACAAGAAGGAAACAACCACCACCACCACTACCACCAAACAGGGACACACAGTCTGAGAAAGGACATTCCTTTACAAAATTTAAGTTAAAAGAATGCTTTTTTTTTGAAATTGGGACTATTCTGGAAAATCCAAAGTGTACAGTCACTACAGATAACTTTAATAAGAGTCAATTTGGTAACAATGAAAGTAAGCCTAGTCATGGATAATTTTAAAAAACATATGTAACAGACATAACAACCATTTCTTCCTGAACCACAATCAGGATACATGACCCAACAAAGTATACTCCTTTTTTAAAAACACTTTTCTTTTCTCGAGTTCAGGATGGTCTTTAAAAATCTAGGATATGTGGTCACCAGAAGTATGAATGATTTTGGAACAAATTAATTTTTTTTAAATTGCAGATGTACTTTTCTAACTATGTTTTGCTTAGGCTAATGTTAAAATTCATTTTTATTCCTTGAGCACACACTGACTGGTAAGAGGCCAGGGAAACAACTGGGTGTATGCTGGGGAGCAAAGGAAGCTGTCTGGGAAAGAGGCAGTGCAGTTTGGTTACCATGCCATATGTCCCAGATTTCCTGGGACAGTCCCAATTTCAAGGAGAGAATGGGCACTTTTAACTAGGGCTTACCAAGTAATTTCCTTTGTCAGACCACAAATTCTGATTTTGGGCTTGGGAAAATGTGTTCACAGTAGGTACAGAAGAAGAAGCAACAAAGCAAGAGCACATAGATCTGAGTTCTAGTCCCCATTCTGCCAATAATTAATTTTACTGCTCAACACACAATTTGCTACATGGAATTTTACTGGGGATTTAAAGTTCTCTTCATGCTAAAATTTTAAATTGCATCTGAAATTTTTTTATCACCCACTATTAAATGACATATGAATCTTAATATAAACCATGCATTAGGAGGCAGTAGTAAAACTGTGGCTTTTTGAAGGGGGCTGAGGAGGAGGAGAGAAGTCACAAGTTGGCTCGTTCTTGCATGCTGTAGGAAGGCCCAGCTTATGTGCTGTGTGGCAAGACAGGCTCATGCACGTCCAATCATGCAGTGAAATTCTCAATATGGAGCAGATTGTTCAGTCAGTTGTGTGCCAGGTGTCACTTGGTAAACATTGTTATTTTTTTCTAATCCCATTCTCTAAGATGTTTTGTAGTTTGAAGATGCTGATATACAGTCCTTAAATTCTCATAAATGTATGCCTCACAAATGTACCAATCACCTGAATTGTTATGTAGCTAACTTTTAACTCCACAGATTAAACTTTATTTGTCTAGTTAAGAAAACATATAACTTTATTTGTATTATAAAATAGGTGCTCAGGATAAGGCTTGGACCCCTCACTTGTCCTGTATCCCTTGTATTAAATTACTAACTGGCTGGATACATGGTTCTGGTCATATAACATTTGCAGTTCCCATGATTTGGAGAGAACAAAAAGACCATTCAACAGATTGCTATATTTGCTAAAAAATATATCAGGAATTTCCTCCAAATCTAAACATACTATAAAAATCCAAATCTACCATAAGCTATAAGATCTCTATTTTACACAGTGAAGAACTACCTGTATCGAAACAACAAAAAACTTGGAACTTGTATGAAGATGAAACTGATGATTCAGATTGTAATGATGAGGCTCAGCATGACAAGGTAGGAGACCAGCAACATGGTGATGCCCCCATTGGAAGTCACTTTTCCATCTTCAGATCCTCATTTAATAACTCAAGCAGTCCTAGTGACCTTACTCATCATCTTACCCAAAAAACATCAAGGTAAACCTTTAGCTTCTACAGAAAAAGGATGGAATATTCTGTAACAGGGCACCAAAATATGTTCCAAGCATGACATTTCTGTCAAGAAGGACAAAACAGGAAAATATTCTTGATATATCTATGGGGATCTAAAAGTGATTGTTCTTTACTAATATTATAACTAGTGTACAAAATACTGCTGCTGCATTATTCATGAATGGAAGAGCAGTGACAGAAATAACCACTACATTTAAAAAGCACTAGCCTCAAAAGAAAGAACCAAATCCCCAAACAAAAAATGTGGTAAGTCAACCACTAGTAGTCCTGAACAAATTTTCTTACCACCGTTGCACATTAAACTTGGTTTAATGAAAAATTTTGTCAAGGCGATGGATCGAAATGGTGCAGGTTTTCTTTATCTGAAAAATAAATTTCCAAGAATCAGTGAGGCTAAAAACAAAGTTGGGGTATTTGTGGGTCCTCAAGCAAGGGAAGTGATGAAAGACAAACATTTTGAAGAACAGTTGAATAAAGTTGAAGGAGCTATATAGAAATCATTTAAAAAAAGGAAACCAAAAAATTTTGGGGAAACTACAAGGCAGAAAATTACCAAGAAATTATCAATGAATCTTCTCAAATCCTATAAAGTTATGGGATGCAACATGTCACTCAAGATCCATTTCTTGGATTCACACTTGGATTTCTTCCCAGAAAACCTACAAGCTATTAGTGATAAGCATAGATAAGGCTTCTAGCAGGAAATCTCCACAGCAGAAAAGTAATACCAGGAAAGTATATTGGCTGACTACTGTTGAATAACTGAGGAGGAATATTCCCCAGGTGAGATGAGGTGCAACAGAAAATCATCAGCAACTACATTTTAGGTGAATTGAATAGTATAGTTGTTTAATAAAAACTACTTTTAAAAATATCAAACTGATTCCTGTAAAAACTCTGAGTGGTAGATAAAATCTGAAGCTATGCTTTAAATAAACACGGACAATACTATATAAGGTTCTCATGATTTTATGAGTATGACAAAAAACAAAGCCCTATTGATTTAGTTTGTCCACTTTTGTGTGGTCCCAGGTCGGCTACTTCACTGTTCTAAAGCAATATTTTCTATGAAGGTGGTGAGATGATCTCTAGACTTTAGAGTCTTTTGTCTAATATTTTATCACAGATGATTTGTATGTGACTAAGAGTTTCCTGTAGTTAACATGTGCAATGCCACAGGAGATGGATTATAGCCCTAAGGCTTTTCAGAAAACCATGAAGCATGCAAAACTGTGAAATTACATTTAAAACAACACATCAGGGCTCCCTTTTACTCTTTCAGTCCTCACAACAACTCCATGAGCAGGCACTATAAGCACTCTAATGTTCATTCAATTTAGAGGTCTAACATTTTATAGAACAGAAAGCTAAGGTTTGGGGATGTTAAGTGACTTGCCCGAAGGTCTCATGGGTTGAAGCTGAGTTGAAATTCAAATCTAAGGCCTCTATGGGGAAAATGAGGTTGGAAGGGGTGATACAACTGAAGTTCATACAACTATTAAAAAACAATAATGTGGAACCTACAGCTTTTTTCAATTCATTTAAAAAATAATACAATTAGCTGCCCATCCAGGCACTAATAACACAGTGGATAGAGTGCTAGGACTGGAGTCAGGAAGACCTGATTTCAAATCCAGCCTCAGACACTAGCTGAGTGACCCTGGGCAAATCATTTAATCTCTATTTGCCTCAGTTTCCTCAACTGTAAAATGAGGATGATAACAGCACCTACCTCATTGAGTTTTTGTGAGGCTCAAATGATCCTTTGTAAAAAGCTCAGCACAGTGCCTGGCACATAATAGGCGTTCTATAAAGGTTTATTCCCTTCTTTCCCTCTCCTCTGCTCCCTTGATTCCTCCTCTCTCCCTACACTTAAACTGTGGATCACAACCCCATGGGGTGGAGACCCACAGCTTAAGGAGCGCTGAAGGTGTCTCGAGTGGAAAAAGTTTAAGAAGCCCTGTGTCTAGACCACCTTTTTCACAGCTAGTAGACAACCCTAAGGTAACACTTGATAAACTAAAATAGGTCAAAGTGCCAATCTTCCTAGCTTTATCTTTGTTTTAATCAGGAATTCAAAAAAGTCTAAGACGCAAAGAAAGACTATCTAAAGACAAATGTTAAGGCTGACATTTGCTTTTGAGGAGGAAGCTCTTCCTGGCCCTCCTCAAATCCTACCATGGAGATGACAACCCCCTTGTCTATTTGAGATAATTGTGGTACCATACTTGAATTAGAGAGGTGGGTTTAATTTCTGGCTCTGTCACTGACAACCTGTGTGACCTTAGGCAAGTCACTACGGAAGTGAAAGGATGACACTAGTTGATCTCTAAAACCCTTTCCCAATTATTTATGTTGGGTGTATCTTTGACATCATTTTCATTGGCCATCCTCTGGCTGAACTATTTAGCTGAAGAAAAAAAGGAAGGCTGAATGGAGAGGGTGGGGTAAGTATGGTATGTAGAACTGGAAAACCAACTCATTTGATGAGATGATGAACCTGAGGTCCCGAAGAGGTTACCTTTACATTTATGTTAAGTTTCTGACTTACCCAAGGTCATAGTTGAAATTTGACTGAACCTAAACCTTCTGACTCCATGCTTGGAGAGTTATGCCCATTTTGCCACTGTCCCAGACTCCTCTTCCCTGCCCCCCCCCACTCCATGCCTATTCTTATAACACTCCTACTCCATTACTTCAGTTGCTAGTAACTTCCAACCTGAGAACTTTGTCTATATTTGGTATTTACTTATCTGCATACCTCTTCTTTTCCCTCAATTGAATGTATGCTTCTTGAGGGCAGAAATTATTTCATTTTCCTCTTTATCTTCCCAAAGAGGCTGCTACACAAAGGTGCTTAACACATGCTTATTGAGTCAATAATAAATGAATGCTTCTATCCTCTAACAACAGCTGTCTTTTTTAAACTGACCAAAGTACCAAGGTAGTAAAAGGAATCTCCTTACACCTGATCAATCTGTCTCTGAAGGCCTAGTCTCAACTCACCCATCCTGAGATCAAAATGGTAGCACAGCAGATTCCTGATTGTCTGTTCATGGTTAAACAAAAGTAGCATTCAGGGCTTCATTGAAAGGCAAGGCTTTAATATATCCCAAGGCCTTATCCTAGCACCTGTTACTTATTATTATTATTATTCTCAGTTAACTGCTTTCCTTATACATTTTTCTTTTGCTTCTATCATTTTTCCCACACAAAGATATACATATATATATTTTATATATATATTTAAAATAACTTGTTTACAAAACTGTTAATAGCAACAGTGGAACAGTGTTATCTAAAGCAAACCAAAATATTTGCTCATAAACTATATAACAAGCCATTTAATGTGATCAGCTTAGTTTTCCTTAGATACTAGCAGTCCAAGGTGTTCCTGAAGATTAAAGGCAAATTTTTCAGAGCTAAAATGTTTCATCATTGAATCTGACATTCAACAGATGGTATACAGGGAACTCCTGTCCTCATAATCACAAATTCATACAACTTTAGAATGGGGCAAGACCTTGGGATAATCTGATGTCGCCCCCTCATGGTACAGGTGAGAGAACTCTCTCTAGGAAGAATTGATCTGACTTGCCCAAGGTCACACAGCTAATTAAAGGCAGAACTGGAAGTAGAAGCCTATATTCCTTATTCTTTGGTCCAGTGGCTCTGGGCTATTTTATATGAAGACATACATCCCTTATTTCACAGGGAGGAAAATACTGCTTTAAAAGGGGGCTTTTAGGAATTTAAGCATTAATTAACATGTCCTTAGTAAGGGCTTTATTGAAGGTATTGTTAAGTTATGAGTCTATCTTCTTTTCTTCCTAAGAACTCATATTGAGAGGCCTAGACCTCTCTATCTGTCCCCATTCTACTAGTGGAGCCTGACCCACCCCATTGCAGAGTGACCCACCATTAAGCAGTAGTAATGGATTTTCACTGATTTACACCACTTTCTCAGGCTTAATCCCCCTTGTGACCAAGGACATGCATTTTTTAGAGCTTGAGTTTCAGCCCATATACACTGAACAGAGTGCAACTAATTGTCCTAGGTGCTGATCGATCCCATGCCCTCAGCCTCATTAGCATGATGTTTTAACAAACTCAGCTAACCGCTTTAAACAAGGGGCTCAATGATTATTTTATTACAAGTACAAAGGAGGCGAAATCCAGGTCCTGAGACGGAAAGTACTTGCTCAAAGTCATAGAACATCGGACAACAATCTCACACTCAGTAAAGCAATGACTGACAAAGGATTAGTCTCTGAGTCTGAATTTTCAGTTCATTATTCTGACCAGTCATGCTGCCTTGCTCATGTTTTTATAAATATACACTGCAGGCAAGGGCTGAAATCAAGCATTCAATCTGTTAAGGCTGTTAGTCAATCTATATAATGACTGAAAGCAGCAGATAATGTAAGAAATTGATGGTTAAAGCATTCCATGCAAGGAATGCTTAGTTATTTTATACACAATTGCCAAATGGTTAGAGAGGGTGCACTATATGAATTGTGGGTTTTTAAGAAAAATTAATTCATATGAATTCATGAGTAACTTTAGGTACTAAACAGAAAAAAAGTAATACAAGTGATTGTAAAACAAAAGCAATTATATCGTTTTTCAGGGTGATAGGTATGAAGAGACTGAAAAAAAAAGAGTGAATTGTTACAAAAAGATAAACTCAAGTAATAACCACCTCTTTATACTCTTGCCTTTTGTCACATTCTGACCATGTTGCATTCCTGTTAAAGAAACCTCAGTAGCTCCCTAGTGCTTTCCTATCATCTCTCTAGGATAAAATACCAAGTGTTCTGCCAAGAATTTGGCTTCAAACGCCTCTGAAATGGCTCCAAACTACCTTTCCAGATTGATTTCACATTTTTTCCTCATCAACAACATTCCAACCAAACTGATCTACTGAATAGGACATTCCTTCTATTTCCCTGCCTTTTGCACAAATTGCCCTAGACCTAGACTGCTTTCTTCCAAGTCACTTTCACTTCCGGGAATCCTTAGGAATGGAATCCTTCAAGGCTCTGTTTACATTAACTATCCTACATGCTTTCCTGATCCCCCTGGTTGATAGATATCCCCCTTAATACTTTATATTTTGTATTTCCTTATCCATATACATGTTGTCCTTTCCCTCACTGAACAAGACAATCAAATATAAACTCTTTGAGGACAGGGACTGTTCTGTTTCTGGTTTTGTATCCCCAATTCCAAGGAATGTCTTATATATAGCAGGTAACTAATAAATACTTACTGAACTGAATTTTTGAGCACAAATTCTTAACTTGACCCAACTGTTACATGATAATAATATACCCCATAATTACATGTCTTGCACTAGGCA